CTTGTATTGTTCCTATGCTATTTCATAAATGGATGTATGTTTATTATTATGTGTTTCCTACAACAACCATTGAGAATAGTTAATGATTATTCAACTGGTCACTCATGTATAGTTCTATTTATTTTCTTTAGAAGCCACTTTGAAGATACCAAAGTATAGTACAACACCTATTGATAATCTCCTACCTCTTCTGTCTGTAACTCACTATTATTTGTCTATTTGTTTTCCTGAGAAACTATCTTGTAGATAACAATACATGAAACAGTAACCATTGATAATTTCCTACCACTTTGTCTGTAATTTGCTAAGCCCCCCCATTATTATGTTATCCTTTTTTTACTCTTTAAAATAAATAAATAAATAAAAAGAAGAGAGTGGGATAATATATTCAATGTTCTGCAAGCAAAAGCTGCAGGCAAGAATACTATACTCAAAACACAACCTCATAAAAGGGGAGGTAAGACATTCCCAAACCAAGAAAAGCAGAGAGAGTTCACCATCAAATTTGCCTTAAGAAGTGCTAAAAGGAGTACTTCAAGTTGAAATAAAAAGATCGTAAACAGTAATACAGTAGCAGAAGAAAATGCAAAACTTGTCAGTAATGGAATTGTAAGATACAGCCAGTTACTTAAAACCCACACTTTTCCATCCGTTGTAATTTCTGACATCTGATCTGCACAGATACGGTTTTTTTGAGACAAAGTCTTACTATGTAGTCAGGCTGACCTCAAAGTCACAGTGACCCTCTTGCCTCAGCTTCCTGAGTGTTGGGATTATAAGCATTCACCACTAAAAGTATTTATGAGCAAGAAACACTGATCATTTTACCTCTATCACCCTGAGAGTCAAACTGAAAAAAACAGGGGCTGGGGATTTAGCTCAGCGGCACAGCACCTGCCTGGCAAGCACAAGGTCATGAGTCTGATTCTCGGTACCAGAAAAAAAAAAAAAAAAACTGAAAAAAACAATGCAACCAACTAAACATGGCAAGTAGCAATGAATTCGAAGACATTAACCAAAACATCATACTCAATTTCTAGCTATCTAAAAGTCATTACCCAGGGAAAGCAGATTTTGCAGAATAAATTAATGTAGAACAACTCAAGAATTGCACTATTCTTGTTTATATTTAGCTGAGAAATAATAAACAGATACTAAAAATATAACACTCAAGAAAAAAAATAAAAGCAGAAAAGCCAGGCATGGTGGTGCACTCAACTCGGGAGGCTGAGGCAGGAGGATCGTTGTGATTCGAGGCCAGCCTGGGCTACAAAGTGAGCCCAAGGCCAGCTTGAACTGCATAGTGAGACCCTGTCTCAAAAAGAAAAACAATAAACAACAAAAATATATATATATAATATTCTTCCATGTGTGTTTATTTATGCCTATAGAGCTAAGCTGCATTTGGAGCTACACATATAAACTACAATAAATTCTTCAAATTTACCCGAATTAACATGATAAGTTAAAGCTAGTTCCAAATCCAAGATCAATGTCCAGGTCCAGATCCAAAGATCTTTAGTGCTTTTTCCAGGGTCCTT